CCCAACAAATGCTTAACCCCACCCACCACTGATCTCATCAAGCCGATAAGCTCTGCACAACAAATGCTTAACCCCACCCACCACTGATCTCATCAAGCCGATAAGCTCTGCACAACAAATGCTTAACCCCACCCACCACTGATCTCATCAAGCCGATAAGCTCTGCACAACAAATGCTTAACCCCACCCACCACTGATCTCATCAAGCCGATAAGCTCTGCACAACAAATGCTTAACCCCACCCACCACTGATCTCATCAAGCCGATAAGCTCTGCACAACAAATGCTTAACCCCACCCACCACTGATCTCATCAAGCCGATAAGCTCCGCCCAACAAATGCTTAACCCCACCCACCAGTGATCTCATTAGGCCGATAAGCTCCGCCCAACAAATGCTTAACCCCACCCACCAGTGATCTCATTAGGCCGATAAGCTCCGCCCAACAAATGCTTAACCCCACCCACCAGTGATCTCATTAGGCCGATAAGCTCCGCCCAACAAATGCTTAACCCCACCCACCAGTGATCTCATTAGGCCGATAAGCTCCGCCCAACAAATGCTTAACCCCACCCACCAGTGATCTCATTAGGCCGATAAGCTCCGCCCAACAAATGCTTAACCCCACCCACCACTGATCTCATCAAGCCGATAAGCTCCGCACAACAAATGCTTAACCCCACCCACCAATGATCTCATTAGGCCGATAAGCTCCGCCCAACAAATGTTTAACCCCACCCACCACTGATCTCATTAAGGCGATGAGCTCCGACGTAATTTTCATTGCGAGTCAGCTGGTGGCTCTGCAGTTGGATGCAGATTATTTAAGTGTTCTTGAAGACTTGAGGACATGTTGAGAACGGAACAGAAAGACCCCTCAGTGTTGACGCACCTTCACCTGTCCATCAGAGATGCTGGGTGTATTCTTCAGTAAGTTCAGATACACTCCCCCCGGTGTCCGTCTCCTGCTACCATCCTGCAGGAAAGCCAAACAAACAAATATGCGAGCACATTTGATTCGTTTTTTGTAAAACAACACTGATAACAGAAAAACTTTTTTTACTGATGTGCAATGATTGTTTTGATATGCAAGGCCTCATGCACAGTCAGCCATTATTTTGCAAAATAATTTGTTGTGTTTGGTTATGCAACAGTAAATCATGCCAGCGAACATCACATTATTATTCAAATTGGTATAAAATAATTTACAGAAAGCCAGCAAAAGTTCTCTCCTTCATAATCACTGAAGCTCAGCGAGAGTTGAAGTCGTCTACACTGCACAGTGACGCTCTTATACACGTAGTGTTTACACTTCATGATCAGAGCAGAGTTAGACTGATATCTCATTTATACTGATGATACATGAGTGCTGCTAGATGCATACATGATCCAGTCAAAATAACACAATCAATGGTCTGTTTGTCAGTTCATGTTATCCTGTACTCACAGTGGCTTGATAATAAAGATGAACCACGAGTGTTACTATGCAGCCTGCACATTTGATCAGAATCAACATAAATAGTTCCTACGGATGCAATGATCATGATCTTTTACGGCCGATTCCATTGGGCTGATTTTGGTTGCCAATTATTATTATTTTTTAAATTTTTTTTAAGAGACAAGAAGGAATGGCAATGAATTACAGGTAATATTATACATAATATATTCAGTTTCTCACACAGTGTGATCATTTTACTTCATAAGACCTCACAGGATATTGTCAGGAGCCCCAAGTATCAATTTAGTATTAATGTATTAAGTTGCCATTGTAGCAACAGCAAACTTTAATCACTGTGATATTTCCATCTAGTTTTTTTTTTTTTTTGTGCGAACTGTCCCTCCATTTATGTGTAAGAAATTCTACAAATATATTTTGCAGAATAATGATCAAAGGTTATGATTAAATAGTAAGCATATGTTAAAAGCGGCAGAATATGGCTCTCTCTATGCACACATTATTTATTATTTTTGACAAACGGAGCCAGCTCTGACAAGCCAATCCTCAGTTCCAAACTCATTCATATGTACTGAAATCTGGATGGACTTTGTGAGGTAGTTTTGTACAGGGTTTCTGCAGGATATTTAAGCTCAAATTTAAGAGCTTTTTAAGACCTGCACAAATAAATAGTAAGCATATGTTAAAAGCGGCAGAATATGGCTCTCTCTATGCACACATTATTTATTATTTTTGACAAACGGAGCCAGCTCTGACAAGCCAATCCTCAGTTCCAAACTCATTCATATGTACTGAAATCTGGATGGACTTTGTGAGGTAGTTTTGTACAGGGTTTCTGCAGGATATTTAAGCTCAAATTTAAGACCTTTTTAAGACCTGCACAAATAAAATGAATACCATATGAGCGGGGTAGGACAATGTCTATAGTACCATATTAAACTGTAAAATGACTGTAAAAAGCATAACTTACAGTTCAGATACAAGTTTTCACAAAAACTAAGTTTTATAAAATGATAAACTTTACATTTCAGCCTTTAAACCATTCTTAAGAAAATAGATGAGTCAAAAGTATTAATTATTATATTTAAACAATTATCAATAAATTAATATATCAATTAAATAACAAATTAGGGGTGTGCGATATTGACAAAAAAAAACGATATCTCGATCATTTTCTGGGATTTTATCGATAACGACTACCGTGGACAGCAGACTCCTGAATTTTTTGACATTCCTCATATTCTGTGGTCAGTTCACAGCAGTGATAGAAATTAATCATTTCCAACAAGTTTTATGGGCATTTTTACCTTTAAGCCATTTTTTCTAAAAGTGTGCACCATCTTTTGAGTCAAATTCTTGCATTTGGGCTGTTACCAAGCAAATGAAATCAGTATCGACAAAATGTATCTTTGCAATGCAGAGGAAACAGAAGCTGCATTAGAAGTGGCATTTAGATGCATTTACACACTGTTTAATGCAGCTCTGAGGGACATGCAATACTTTAACCTGCAGTAACAAATACATAAATACTGTTTAGATATTTTAAAGCTGCAGTCCGTAACTTTTTTTGGTTAAAAATGATCCCAAATCAATATTTGAGCAAGTACATAACCAGCGACGGTTGATGGCGGATTGTAATCCAGAAAGGATTATATGAAACACATGTGAATGAAATTAAATTATATTCCAGTTATAAATGTGCTTCTGATTACAGACAGCCTGGGATTACACAAGATTTGTATTTTAAAGACAACCAGTTCGAAGGGAGCATAGTTTGCTTTTTGGGTTAAAAAAATTTTAGTATGAAATTGGAATGGTATGACAATTAAAGATTAGACTGTGCAGAAACTGAAATCTACACACACTATACTCAGTCACGCAATGCTGATGTTGCTAACATTAATAATCTGAGAATAAAGTATAACAATAATAATAATTTGCACGGTTTGATGTGATATGAGCTAATCGATCGTTAGATTAAATCACCATTGGTAGAGAGATTTATGGTAATGCTTTTTTCCTCAGTTGGTCAGCACAAACCTGGCAGACTTGTTACTTGTTCAGATGACAATATCCGGTGAAAATTCTTATTTGGGTCATATATTCCAAGAAGTAGGCTATAATCTGTGATTGCGAAGTATAGGATTCACACCGGTGCAGTAGACTGACTGCCACATACTCCTCAAAACATTAGATTCATCCGTGCTGGTGCCGGATGATTCATTTTTTAAATTAAAACCGCCAGTAGGTGGCAGCAAGTCACTGTAAAGTGAGTCATTGCGATTGAACCGAATCATTTACACGGTTGATTCATTCAGGAACAAAACAGGGTCCTGTTGCTCAGAGACGCAGAACAGCACTGTGGCTGTGTTTGGAATGATTTTTGTTGGAGAAATAGAGCAAAAACAGGAAATACGTTTCTAAAACGTAAGTCTCTTAATATTAACTTCATTTATTGAATCATGCTTGCTTTGGAGAAAAAAACGTCACTCTTCGTGTGATATTAACTATATGAAATGATATAAATATATACATTTTCTGCCCCATATCTTGAATTATATAATTCTAAATGCATTTTAATAGACTGATTCATGCCTTGAAAGAACACACTCTAAACGCATATGCGCACTAGTTTAACCTGCTAACTTGCTAGACTTCATCACCTAATGTATGCGTGCAGTCTGTAGGTGTTTTGTTTGCTTTTCGCTATATACTCAATAATATCAAATCACACATTGTTAAAACAACAATTAAGACATTATCGCAGACCATACATATCGCACACCCCTATGTTTACATTTTTATAATGCATCGTCTTCTTATCGATCCACCAGTTCACATTTAAAGCTCTGCGTGGGTGGATTTTCGCATTGGTCTGAACTCTAAACAAAACAACAGGCTTATTGAAAATGCTCATTGTCTGCCAGCAGGTGGAGAGTTTGGTAGAAATATAACTGTTTCCCCGGGTTTATAAGACCCGCGGAAACCCTGTTGTACATACCACAGTGTAGAGTCCTCCAGTCTGTTCAATGGTTGCGGTCTCTGTCAGCAGCTCGATGGCTTTCTTCTTTCCTATCACCCTCACCACTCGCTCGATCAGATCCTTCTTCGGCTCCATGAGTCTTTAACAGAGAGCAAACAAATGCAGGATTATATAACATCTGTGCAGTAACTCCAAGATCATTTCACCCAACAATCTTATGTTATCGTAGAATTTATATATTTGCACATACAGATGTTCAAAAGTTTGGGATCTACTGATTTTTTATGTTTTTAAATAAGTCTCTTATACTCATCAAGGCTGATTTGATCAATGTTTTAAACTGTAATGTATTTCTGTGATGCGCAGCTGTATTTTCAGCATCATTACTCCAGTCTTCAGTGTCACATGATCTTCAGAAATCATTCTAATATGCTGATTTGCTCAAGAAACATGTCTGATTATTATCAATGTTGAAAACAGTTGTGCTGCTTTTTTTTGGAAACCATGATCCTGTTTTTCTTGTTTTTTTTTTAAAGATTCTTTAATGGGAAAAAAAGTTAAAAAGAACAGCATTTACTCAAAATGGAAATCTTTTTCTAAATAAATGCAGCGTTGATGAGCGTAAGAGACTTCAAGTCTTACTGATATAAAACTTTTGTATGGCAGTGTGTCTCTGTGCACATATACACACACACACACACACACTTGTTCACTTTTTAAAATGACTAACATAAAAATGGCATTTGGCTTTTCCCGCATAAGGCAGGTGTGTGTGATAGAGACAAACGCGGGGGCTTCACTGCACAGGATATGTGCTGTGAGATAAAAAGAAAAACCCATAACTATGACTGCTTGTAAACTTTCGATACTTAAAGCCCTCCCAGATACTGAAAGTGCTTTTTGTTGATCACTTGCAATTGTCTTTTCCCTCCATTATTACTTTATATCTGCTTGTATGTTTTGAAGCTATATTTACTTTTAATTCTTAACAATAATTGACAACAGTTTTGCAGTGCATTGGTGCAGATTGCATGTGTTTTTCCTGACCTGTGAGCGATCTCATCCACCACTCTGTCTTCAGGGTCGTCCTCCCGGAGCTGGTACCGGCCCCTCGGATCCATCTCGGCCCGTGGGCCCAGCCTCTCCTTAGCAGGCCGCTTCCTCTTCAGACAGCTCTTCTGCTGCATGTAGCCCTCCAGCTCCCCGTCCAGCACGCTCCTCAAGCCCTCCTCGTCCTCCTCGCGCTCCTTCTCCATCATCTTGCGGGCCAGGACGTAGTTATAGGTCTCGCTCTGCCGACTGCTCATGCTGACGCTGCCCTCCATTCCCATGATGCCCAGCTCTGCGGCCACAGACTCCTGGCTCTGCTCCTGCACCACGGAGCCCCAGATGTTGTTGACCCTGCGTCCGGAGGGAGCGCTGGAGCTGCAGAGCCGCTTCTGTCTCCAGGGCACGGCCTCGTCTTCAGACGCAGAGTCGCTGTCGCTGGAGTCGGTGTTCTTGAGGCTGCGGTATCCAGAGACGGACGCAGAGCTCAGAGACGGACCTGTGCGCTGCAAATATGACACCTGCAACAGCGGCGATCAAAAACAGTTGAATAACTTTTCTCCATGAATAACTGATTGAATGTACAGCGGTGGCCAAAATCATTAGAACACATGTATTTTCAGCAGCTAAAAGTGGTTTTGAGTCAGTTATTTCTATCTTTTGCTGTAGTGTGTCAGTAGGAAATATCAGTTTTAGCCATTAATTGTAATAATGCAGTGAGATATATGTTTGTGCTGCATACAGAGATGTGATCATCATCAGTCTGTCTGGAGTCACATGAAGAAACAGAACAAACTGAGACAGACTCAATCGCTACAGTTCTGCTAAACGTTTGAGGCACTTGTGTAAAAATGCTGTCAAAAATAATCTTATAAATAGATTTTCTTGATCAATTTAACTTCTATAAACTGAATTAAATCATCATTTGGTGTGAGCATCTTTGTGTTTAAAGCAGCTTTTGCCCTCGGTGAAAAAAACACTTTTAGCTGCTGAGAATACATGTGTTCTCATGATTTTGGCCACGGCTGTATGCTGTCTCTGATAGCTGGCAGCAAAATAAGAGACCTTTACAAGATGAAGTAAGCCGACAGTCCCTTCAGAGACAAGGCGAGTTTGTTTACAAAGACAAGCAAGACCAGGAACGTGTTAATGAAGTGACCGGGGTTCAGCAGCACTGGCATCTTCTGAAGCGATTTATACAAGCAGCACGAATCATTCGCACAGCTGAGAGCGGCTAATAAGGTTGATCAGAGCAGGCTGCAAACACAGACACAAACACACTCTGTTCACCTGCACTCGCTCCTCCTGATCTGACTCCAGCTCGCCATCCTCCAGCTCCGCCATTCTGTCTCCACCGCCCGCCATTTCTCACAGCCGGAAGTGACGCGCACATATTCTTCTTCTTCTGATGTTTATTGGCGGTTTTGGCAAACCAACTTAATTGTGTAAATTTAAATTTAAAGCTGAATGTCCAATCCTCATTCTTGTTATAATAACATCTTTCTTCCTACTCCCACATCTTATTCTCTCTTCACCTACACACCCCTGTATCTGGTAAAGATGCCTTCCTTTTACTCCACTATCCCACAACTTTTGCCATATCTTTCTTACTTCAATTGATATAATTCTCTTGATTTCAGATTTGCTAATTGCTATATTAATTTCACTATGTGAGTGCTTCAGAGCCATCTTAGCCAAGCAGTCCACTTCCTCATTTCCCTCCACCCCAGTATGAGCCGGCACCCATAGGAAGTATACCATTATCCCTGATTGTCTAATTCTAAACAAGTGCTGTAATACTTCATATATTAAATCTTGCCGTGCTGCAGATTTACCACTCACTAGACTTGTTAGAACAGACATTGAATCTGTACATATTAGCGCACATATTCGCTGCAGCGTCAGCGGCGACGCACTCTCATTGGGCGCGTTCTCTTCTTCTTCTGCTTCTTCTTTGCATACGCGACCGCGCATTCCCGCCACCTGCTGGGAGTCGGTGAAGCGTCACGTTCTCCTCGTCGATGCTGTTCTGGCCTGTTCACTAACACCATTCCACTAGATCCTTCTTAACTCCGTTATGTTTTCCTCTGTTCTTCATATTGTCTGCACACAATAAGCACATGTTCCATAGTTTCTAAAACATGATAATAATCACAAAAAAACAAACGCTGCTTGTCTCCCTATAATATATAGTGTACTGCTGCTCATAACTATTTCTTCTATTCTTCACAGAAACAACTTCATCTTGAATGCTACATCGATGCCTTTATTTCATCTCTCTGTCCACTGCTGTTGTCATTCTCTAAAGGACTCTTTCTATACTATGCTATTTCTTTCAGATATTGACAATTTAATATTTATTCACTTCTTTCCTTCATCGTTTTTGGTGTTTTACCATGTGTTTTTGGTGTTTTGGTGTTCTGCCATCTGCTGTCTAATTTTAATTCATCACTTCTTAATGAAATTCATCCTTCCAGTCTCAGCCCTCCTTGTGAAATGAATCAAATATTTCTTCCTTGGGCATTATTCACACATTCTACCATATGTTTTACTTTATACTCTACTATACCCATTTCTTACAGCTGATTCTTCATCTCTCAAATGTCCTGCGTCACTGTAATACGTTAAAACCTAAATAAACCCTTCATATCTCAGGAAAACATCCTACAGGACAGGAGTATGTGGTGGATGTCACTGTCCTGTAGGATGTTTTCCTGAGATATGAAGGGTTTATTTAGGTTTTAATGTCCAGTCCTCAGTCTTCTCAATATAACTTGTTTTATGTCCCCTCTCTCATACCATGGTACTTTGAATCATGTACAGGTGTCTCCCTTTCATTTCATGACCCCGCTGCTGTTGCCTCTTTTGCGTCATCTTTTCCTACACTAGACATATATTTCAGAGCTGTAATACTTGCTCCCCGTTCCAAACCTGCAACACACCTCATCACATGAAGCACTTTTTACATTTATTAACTGTATTTTGAATGGACTCTGTTGTGCCTTGCTTTATTGTGTTGTCTAATATTTGGAATATTTTTGGAACATTTATTCCAAACATAATTTGACTTTGATATCCATTATTTTTCTCCTGGTATTACTCAATGCATCAGGAAGGGAAACTCCTGCAGATGCATATGCAATGAAGTTAGCAGCAAAAATAACGGCATTTTGGTTTACATTATGCACAGTTTAGCATTATGTGATTCACTTACAACAAAACAAAAGAAAACATTTGCCTTGATTTCCAAAATCTTTTTTTTTTCTAGCATTATATAATGAAATTGGGTGAGCTCAGTGCTGATTCACCTTCCGCTAATTATTTTCTGTGAATTGGAATAAGTGAAAATGATTGTGGGTGTTTGGAGGACACAAAAAATACACTTGATGCATCCGTCAAAACAAGCCAAAAGAAAGACACAAAACATCCTCCAAGGATCCTTCAAATCGAGATGGCCTTTGAGGGAGCTTGAAGACGTGGCAGCCTAGCACGCATCCTTCAGGTTGAGAAGCACCTATGAAGTCCCAGCTGTGGTTTCAATGCAGTTGTTCAAAGGCATACAGTGTACAAGTGTGCATGTGGTAGTTTTAATGCAAATCTCAGGATTGTGGTTAAATAAGATACACTCTAAAAAATGCTGGGTTAAAAAGGGACAAACCCAGCGGTTGGGTTGTTTTGACCCAGCTGTTGGGTTGTTTTGACCCAGCGGTTGGGCTGTTTTGACCCAGCTATTGGGTTGTTTCGGTTGGGTTGTTTTGAACCCAACCGCTGGGTCACAACAAACCAATAGCTAGATTCGTCCCTTTTTAACCCAGCGCTGCGTTATACACGTCTAATATAACTAAATTATGTCTGTTGCAATGTTTAATATGACAATAAACATGCATCACTCAGTTTAGCACTTTTAAATATAACAGTTTATATGAATTAAATAACAACTTATTACTTACATAAATGCACTTGGATGTATTACATACACGCATGTATATTTGTTACTGTTATTTATTGGGTAAGTGTACCCTTTAAGCCCACTTTCAACTTTGACATCAAATTAAAAAAAAGATCAAATCATATTTTATGTTGATCATTATTTTAACCAGTCCAGTTATTTGTTAGCTGCCAGACAGTTTTATCGCACACCATCACATCTGGCAGTTCTGAGTTAGCCCCAGCCGTGTGCCTCACAAACACACTTCAGGACCCTTCACAAACACACACATTTCTGCAGTGTTCAGCCAGTTCTTTGGTAAATACACTAATATTATGTAAAATAAGAGACAAATGGATTGTTTTTTGTGTGTATAAACAAATAGTACTTTATCATTTTCCTTTAAATGTAAAGATGAGTTTTATTAGCTTGCACACAAAGCTAATCTCAAGGTCAAACCATTAGCCTTACTGAAAGATGTAAATAAATGCATCATAAATTATGTAGAGCATATTATTTTAATAAATTAACAATTTTTAAAGATGGCCTTAAATGGTACAGTGCCACAAAACACATGCAAACTATAACCTTGAATGGAGAAAAAAAAACTGTAACATTTATTAATGTGGGCACAATGAAATGACTATGATGTATAGTCACAGTATATTTAAGTTCCATGCATGTTTTTGTGAAATCTTACATTTTTAAAGGAAAACATTGTATTTTTTCACCCTTACTCACTGTGGTACCATTTAAGCCCACTTTATGTTTTTCAATGATATACCCATCTAATTACAAACTTTGATCAATTTTCTGAGTGAAAGTGTTTAATAACAGTTCTGTGTGTGCTTTTACCTTAGTAACCTTTTTACCTTAACTTACTTATTACGGAGAAGCCTACAAATTACAAACTGTTTAGCACCATTAATAGATGTCTGCTAATGTGTATCGTTTGTTTTCAGCGAGAAAATGACAAAAAAGAGAAAACAAACTACAGCACCTGTCCACAAATCATAGAGGCATGTCGCCTTTACCATGAGGGCACAGTAAAACACTTCTGGGAGAGAGTGAAGGCCACGACCGGAGCTGAAGCTCATCAGGTTGCATGTTATTGGTACAGGTGATGAGCGCAAGCAAACATTAGTAAAATTATTATTTTTAAATACTTCGCTCTCACTGAATAAATATAATGATGTTTTACTTCTTTAAAATCAATAAATGTTAGTATTTCTGTGAATCAATCATGATGTGGGCTTATTAACACATGCGGGCTAAAATGTGCTGAAAGACCATGCCAGACTTTTGACTTTATTCATAAAATATTTTAATTTTATATTCTAAAATGTACATCAACTAATTAATACATTTTCAAATGAGAGATAAATCTTGCATTTTAACAAATTATTTTTTTTATAAACAATGTCAATATCTATGAAAAACACCTAACCTTAGGTTTTGGTGGCTTAATGGGTACACTAACCCTACTAATTTGATTAACTTTTCCTCAGAACACATTATTTAAACTTGATATTTACGAGTTCTACTAAATGAGACATGTTTGTGCAGTTGTGCACCGGGATATTGATCAAACGCAGTAGCTGATCTGTGATCTGTCTGAAACAGATGAAGGGGGTGAGTCGCTGGTTGACCAATCAGAAGCGCCGTACGCACGTGACCGCGGAAGGCATGCGCGTTGCGCTCGGCTGCATGCGTCAGTTCGCTATGCAGCGTGTTCTGACGCAGAGAGTGGCGCGGCTCTTCGCTGTGAGGATTAAACTGTCGCCGAGTGTCGGAGCTGCGGCGAACATGTCGACGCTGCTCGTTAACCGGCCGCAGTACAGCTGCCTGAGAGAGCTGGGCCTTAGCGAGGACAACGACGGCGTGTATAACGGCTCCTGGGGCGGCCAGGGACAGGTAAGAGGATCACAGACGCGACGCGCGCTAAATATAGACAAACCGCAGCGATCTCAACCTCTCAGGATCAAATTCACCTTTGGTTCACTTGTATTAGTTTATAGGCTTGTTGTTGGTGAAAGCTTAACTCCGAGTAAAGTTCACAGCACTAGTCAAGGCTACTGGTTAAAGTTGGTTAACCTGCTTCCTCACTAATGACTTCTGTTCTGTTAAGATCAGAAAAGAGTCGGTCTGTTATTTCGAACTGAAATTAAACATCAGCTAATCTAGTAAAACATTTACAGTCTGTGAAAAAATGCTGGTAGTAACAAGTGGTAACACTTTATTTTAAGGTGTCCTTGTTACACATGTACTTACTATTATAATAACAATATATTATGCATAATTACATGCAAGTAACCCTAAGACAAACCCTAACCATATAGTAAGTGCATGTAGTTAAAGGGGTCATATGATGCTGCTAAAAAGAACATTATTTTGTGTATTTGGTGTAATGAAATGTGTTCATGCGGTTTAAAGTTAAAAAAACACATTATTTTCCACAT